GAACATATCAGAAAGAAGATGCAGAGGTTTTTGTCATTTTTGTCTTCACCACAAGATGAGATGAGCCCAAGCATGGAAGCAATGGCTGGCCTGAGAGAGATTTTCTGTTTGTTTTGTTTGATAAAAAGGAATTAATCTTTTGTTTCACATTTTGATTTTTGCTTCTTCCTCCTAATCATAGTTTAAACAAATCCTATTTTTCCAAATTTAGAGAAAGAAAAAGGATATGCAGATCCAGTTTCCCCCCCCCCCTTTCTTTTGAGCTTTCCCTTCCAAGTGCAATAATTCTTTCTCCACTTGTATTTCCAGGAAGCACCAGCACACGGAACAGTAGTCAAAAAGGAAGCAGTGTGTTGAGCATAAAAAGAAAGTCAAGGAAAGAACTTCTTATGGAAAAATTGAGAGAACAATTTATTATAGCAAAAGCATTTACAATTAAAAAGTGAGCAATTACACATATTATCAGATTTATTGAAATAAATGGTGAATACAAAGATGGTCCATGATGTTCTAGGATTGGGAAAGGGGGCAGAGAGAAATCTATATCCATTTTATGTCACCACTGACTACTAAAGGCAGATCTGTGTACCTGATTTTCACGTAGCAAGAAAAGATTTCTGGAGAATGAGAAACAGATTTTTCCATTCAGTGTATGAGGGACACATCCCCAATACTAAATATTAGGATTTTAATTAGACTAAATCCTCCCTCTCTCCCTCCCTCCCTCCCTCCCTCTGGCTAGCAATAAACATGACCAGTTCCCCACCAAGATATTATTTTAAGATTATCTTATTTTTTAAAATATTAATAAATCATGTTTTGCATATGTGAAGAATCTATCAAGCATCCATAAGGGTGTCAGGTTTCTAACATCCCTCTTCTATACTAAGCCTTGCAGCTCCTTTGCTTGCCTTAAATTATATGTGCTAGAACAAATTAAATATCCTAGAACAAAGGGAGCCTCCAGATACTTTAGATATCTGGAGATACAACTCCCATACAACTGTAACCCAAAACATTTTGAGGGCAACTCTACTCCTTCCTTGGAGGAATCAATTACAGCTACTCCTTGTTTAGCAACCACAATTGGGGCTGGCAATTCCAATGCTAAATGAAGCAGTCACTAAGTGAGAAATCATGTGAACATGACTGTGCTTTCCAGCTCGAAACTGACAAGGCTAATCAGTTTTACATCTTTGGCTTTTGTTTGCTTCCCCACCATTCCCCCGCCCTTTGGAATGCTCGCTCCGGCACTGGGATAATTAGCAAGAAGGGAATTAATTTTGTATTTACATTCATTGGAGAAGAAGGGATTACAAGAGAGTAAGCAGGAACACAGTGGGGAATACACATTGAAAGTAATGCGCTGGCACTGGAGCCACCAGTGCACTATACAAACATCCTGGTGTATTACCCATTGTGTGCCTGCTTATTCTTTTGTAATCCCTTCCTCTCCAATCTCTCTGTTCTGCAAGGCAAGAGAAAAGAAAAACAGGTCAGGGACAGGATAACGCATACTGAGTATAATGGCAATCACATGACTGAGGGACTCTGCGAAGGTCATAAAGAGTCGTAAATTGTCGTAAAGCTTTTTTCAGCACCTTTGTAACTTTGAAAGGTTGCTGAATGAATGGTTGGTAAGCGAGGACTACCTTAACATTGATTAGGATCAGGTCAAGACAGACATCTAAGGCCACATTTGCATTGTTTTTTTTACCAGATCTAAATCTCTTATATGGTTATCTCTAAGGGTGAAGGCAATCAGGGACTCCATATATAGCTTCATATAGTATCTGTGAGGCAACAGACAAAATCCTAAGCAGATGCATCTTTCCACAAAATTACTTTGTAACAATGACTGCCTTTTGTATTATTTTAGGACACTACAAATATACCTGCCCATCAAACAGTTTTTCTACAATCTTATCCACCCAGATTACAGTGCTGTGACAGATGTTTATGTCCTGATGTTCCTAGCTGATACTGTGGACTTCATTATCATTGTCTTTGGATTCTGGGCTTTTGGGGTATGTTAAATGGAGTTGATGTGTTTGAGTAAATTTGTCAGATACTTTTGTAAGAAATAACTTTGCTTCCTCTGTTTTCTTTCTGTTTTTTTCCCAGAAACATTCTGCAGCAGCAGATATTACCTCTTCATTATCAGAAGACCAAGTCCCAGAAGCCTTCTTAGTGATGGTGCTAATTCAGTTTGGAACCATGGTAGTGGATAGGGCACTGTACCTGAGAAAGACGGTCATGGGGAAAGTCATCTTTCAGGTCATCCTTGTTTTTGGCATACACTTTTGGATGTTCTTTATCTTGCCCATGGTGACAGAAAGGTAAGTGCACTGTGTTTAAATGATTTTAGTTCAGTACTGTTACTTTTATTATTTTTTACTTTTAAAATGTGGCCAGTTCATTTACAGATAAAATTCACTTCTTGTCCACCCAAAGAATGATTGTATTGGATAAAGAAATGAAAACAGTAATAGATGATATTCTGAAAAGAAATGGGTTTTTTTTACCACATTGAAATGATGCAGAAAGTATTCATTCTATGAAAGGCATATAAATTTGTTTTCTTGATGTGTGTTTTGTATTGTAGGAAATTTAGTCAAAACACAGTTGCCCAGCTTTGGTATTTTGTGAAATGTGTTTATTTTGGATTATCAGCATACCAGATACGCTGTGGCTATCCAACCCGTGTACTTGGCAACTTCCTCACAAAAAGTTATAATTACGTAAACCTCTTTTTATTTCAAGGGTAAGTCTGTAAATGTGGTATAATGTGTCTTTTTTCTTTACAGTTCCCTTTCTTTTTATTTATTCTTTCTTCATATGAACATTAATAGATTGCATCTCCACCAAAACTGACTCATAACAAAGTCATACTACCTTATCACCTTAATGTGTCTTTCATTTGGAAATGCTACATTATTTGGTAAGATGATTTAGATGAACACCATTAAATTTGCAGTTTATCATGAAATAAATCGGAATTTATAAATGGATTGAATATAACCCCTTACCACACACTTCTACTCAGAAGTGAAAAGGAAATGTTTCTTTGGGCAAAATCTTCTCATTCCTTACAGGAAGCGAGGGAGCTTTTGGGCATCATATTCTTCTTGTACAGAAGTTTTAGAAAATTATCATAGACAAATAGAACATTGTAGCTGGTCTTCAGCCTAATACTTGAATGGTGAAAGACAGAACTAATCTTCTAGGCCATCCTAGATCTACATAAAATAGTTCTAAATGTTCAAATAAATCTCTTGTATTCTTCCATTATGTCAGGTTGGGCATAACAGGTTTTGGACCATACTTTGTTGTTGTTGTTGTTGCTGCTGTTGTTAGCCTTTAGGGCTGAAAGGGATATGGGCAGTGATGGAGTGATATGACCTATTGTCTAGCTCCTTTTTTCTGGGGGCTTATGTTTTTACTGCAAGAAATTAGCAGAATAATGCTTCCAAAAGTGGTGGTGGTGAGATCTGAAGGTGCTTAGGAAGTCACAAAATGGAGGCCATAGACTGCATTTGGCCCATGGCAATAAAAAGCCCTGATCTCTCTATTCTGGGCAACAGAATATTTCAAGCTAAAACTGATTTTTCTTCTTTGGTAATTTCTCGGTAGGTTCCGTCTAGTCCCTTTCTTGACTGAATTGAGGGCAGTTATGGACTGGGTTTGGACAGATACCACCTTAAGTCTTTCCAGTTGGATCTGCGTTGAAGATATTTATGCCCATATATTCATTTTAAAGTGCTGGCGAGAGTCTGAAAAAGTAAGAAATCTACTTAAGGGCTTATTTTTTTTCACTGCAACCTTATAATCAAGAAATAGATCATATTGTACCATGTCAAAAAGAAATGTGACAGGTGTTGCTCATCTATCCATATTAGGTTAATGGTGTTTCAAATTTCCTAAAGTTGATGGGATTCCAACATTCATCTCAACTAAATTTTTTACTTCTATTCACAGACACTTGTTTTTGCATATTTATATATCTGACTGTATGCAGGCTCCATAGTGTATGAAATAATGATATTTTTTAAAAAGCACAGCTGATAGAATACATAAATATTTATTAAATGTAAAAAATATTTAATTGTCCAAAGAAAACTCCAGCCTTATTTAGTCCATGAGAAAGGAACTTTTAACTGAAAGCAGGCCTATTCGACATAAGTTAATAATTTTCTCAGAAATAATTTCTGGATGCACTACTGTAGAATTCCAAATTAGAGTCCTTTTCACTGAGATGCTCCCTTGGAAGACCCAGGGTATAGATCAAAGCTAGAACTATTAGGGCTGTGTATGCAGTACTTAGATTTATGAGAGCCAGTTTGGTTTAGTGGTTAAGGCTTCAGGCTAGAAAGCAGGACTCTGTGAGTTCTAGTCCTGTCTTAGGCATGAAAGACAGCTGGGTGACTTTAGGCCAGTCACTCTCTCTTAGCCCACGATGTCAGGCTCAGGCGACAAGCTGGTCAGTTAATTCCTGTTGCAACCAGTGGATCAACATTAGGTTCATCTGAAAAAAAAAAAAAGTGGACCCTGCACCTGCAGGAAAACACTAGGAAAAAAAAATGCAGTACTTAGATTCTGTTGGTTTTTTTGATTAACAATTTTATTTTTTCCCTTTAGGAAAGTAGTATATAGTGCAGAAGCGTGAGGATGACACCCAGGTTGCTAGGCTATAAATGCTGCAACTATTAGTGCTACAACCTGTAGCATTAATTTGAGCAGAAGTCTGTTTTCCCTTAGTAACTGTCCATTAATATAGCTATAACCAGTTATCTGAAAATAGAAGGAAAAAGAAGAATTAGACCTTTCAGTTCCTACAACTTTCTTCCATTCCTGTGGATATGAAATCTGTGGCTATTATGAAAGAATGTTTTTCATTGGACAAGTTATTCATTCTAAATTCACATTTTTCTAAGCAGCATAAAATGATTATACTGTTTCATACTTTAATTTACTTTTCCAAGCTTAAAACAAGCTTTTTCATCCATTTCTGAACTATGCCAACAATGATGATAGACAGCAGGTACAATCAAATTTCAGAGATTGTGTATATGCGGAGCCCCTGAATTATAAGACCTTTATAAGAATCCTGATATAAGAGTCCTTTGGCACTTTCTACAAAACAGCATTGTATAATATAAGTTTTATGGATCTGAAATCTCTTCGTTAGCTGACCTCAGATTCTAGAAGCTGCTTGAATGACAGTGTTGCTGTTGTGGCAGATCTTGCCTGAAGAATTGAGAAATATGCTTTGCTTCCCCTGGTTTGTGAAATCAGCTAGAGCATGCCTGGAATTATGGATCTGAATGTCAATGTTTGCTTGCTATTCTATAGTTTTATTTAAAAAAAACAAGTTTAGACCCTGCGGTTTCAGACGATGACATTTACTACTTAATTTGCTATTCTAGTACAAGATTTTGGACCATGTGGCAGCCCTGTCTCAGTTGTAGTCATTTGGATCATACTATTTATTTAGATCATGTGTGGTCTCACAAGAAAGCATGGGACCCCAGTATGATAAGGACCCCATACATGAACACAGAATAAAGTTCAAATACATGGGAGTTGTCATTTTAAAAAATTAATGGGTTTTCTCTCTTTTTAAAGGAAAGAAAAACACATGCATTTATTTGTTATTTGCTTTTTCTCTCTCTTTTTGCAGCGATATCCCCAACCAAGGGGCCAGAAGAAAAAGAAGGTTGTGAAGTATGGAATGGGTGGCATGATTATTGTCTTGCTGATATGCATAGTGTGGTTCCCGCTGCTCTTCATGTCTCTAATTAAATCTGTTGCAGGTGTCACAAATAAGCCTCTTGATGTATCCATCACAATAACTTTAGGAGGTTACCAGGTACAACCAATTAAAATGTCATGTGTTATTTTCTTTCACATGCTAGCATCCATGACGGACTTAAATTTCAGCAAAAGAAAACATTGCTACTTATTTACTGAAAGTTATCTATAGTGTTTACAGCAACTTTATATTATTTTCCAGCCTATTTTTACAATGAGTGCCCAGCAGAGTCAGCTAAAAAATATGACAGATAAACAATATAAAGACCTCCACAATACTTTTAAGAAGAATACTGTAAGTATTTTTTTTAAAAAATGGTGCTGTAGAAATAATGCTACTAATGGCATGCAGTTGTGAAAGCATTCCACATTCTTCAAATTACCATCATGACTATGCTATTCATTCATTCATTCATTCATTCATTCATTCATTCATTCATTCATTCCATTTGTACTGTCACTCTGAGCTTATCCGTGTGTTAATCTGTAATCCAGTTAGTCTCAGTGCTTAGTAACACGTAGAGGAGGAAGCACGACATTTATATCAACGTGTATTTGGATGTATGTTATACACCTTTCTGTGTACAACTACAGAGAACAACAAGCAAGCCAAGGACAAACATGTGCAATAGCCTGTTTTGACATGCTCTGACCATTCAGTTAATTAGCCAAATGGTATTCCTGGTTCTGTCCTTATGCTACTTCTTCCTGTTTCCTTTTATTCAGCCACCAGCCATACCCATATTCCTTTTCCACAGCTTACCTCTCCCTACTTTTTTGAATAATGAAACCTTCAATGTATACTTCTACAGCCAAGAAGTAGAATTAATTTCCTTCTTTTATTTTTTAAAGGGTGCTCTACAGTTTCTAGAGAACTATGGTATAGAAGATATAACAGTAGCACAACTAGAAGGCAGTTCAAATTCTTTATGGACCATCAGCCCTCCTAGCAGAAAAAATATGATAAAGGAGCTCAAGGCAAATAATCCTGATTTTTCTCTGGTTATTTCATGGAATATTCAAAGGTATAACTTCATTGATAGTATATAGGCTTATTACTATTTTGTCTAGTGATGGCATTCTTGTTACTATATTTCTCTTATATTTAAACTTCCTTGGTAAAAAGAGGCCTTCCCAGATTTTATATTTTAACATATACATTTGAAAGTATTCTTCTGAGGATAGATTGCTGCAGCTTTGGGTTCAGAGTAAAACTCTGCTACTAAATAATAATTTATTTCATTCACTTCATTATCATGGTTACAACTATTGTAACCATGATAATTGTTGTAACCTTCAACTATTGTATTTTCTGACAATATTGTGGCATCAGGGAACAAATTCTGTATATGAAGTTTTGCTTTATCTATGACAATACAAGCCACAGTTTGCATCATTGCAAACGTTCATAAAATGGAGTTGTCAGTCAAATGAGTATTTCAAAATGTCCCGTCTAGTGATCATTATGTTGAATACAACAATTGGAGGAATCATACAGTATTTTGTAATATGTGTTCTTCAATGATTAATACATTTTTATGAAATATTTATTAAAGAAATGCCTCTCTTGGAGCAAAAGCAGAAACAGTATCAGATAAAGTGTCTCACAATCTACCAAATGAGGCAAGACTAAAAATTGCTGAAATGATGGAAGATCCATTTCTAAAAACAAACCCCTTTGTGTAAGTAATTTTTGATATATTCTAAAACACAAGAGATTTTATTTATTGTAAAGAAAGCTAGAAAATATTAAAAGATTAAGATAGTATTACATTTGTAAATATGTTTATATTATAGCCGTAGTCAATTCGTTCTTTCTAATCTAATCTTTTTAGTAGAAAGAATGTATTACTGCACCTTCACATTGATATTAAATCATATCATGGTCCCCACATTGAACTTATTACTGAATTGGAATTACTTTTCTGGAGAGGATTCTTCATTTATGTAAATGCCTACCAAGCGTCTGCAAGGACATTTAAGAGGAATGAATGTCCAAGCAGAGATGTGGAGACATCTGGAAGTATATATAAGCAATAGGAGAAGGATTGAGAATGATGGCCATTGTCTTTCCACCCTTGCAGTCAATCAGTGGTTTTAAATTGACAATATGAGCTACATGTAGTCAACAAATGCATTCACATTATGTGCAGACTTGATTGTTTTTATTGTATAGTACTATTGAGCAAGCAGAAACTGATCTAGAGTGTGTGTGTATATGTGAAAATCTATTTCTACATACTTTTTGCTGTACTTGGATCAGAGCAAATGATTTAAAGAATTAGATCAATAGTTAACTGTTCTGTAGTTTATTTTAATAAATGAGAAAATGATATTCTCCTGATACCAGAATTGAGAATATTTTGTAGAAGGGCTAGCTGCCCTCAAATTTTCAAAATATTGAAGAGTGATAAACTTAAAAAGAAAATGAAAAGTGGAATCTGGGAATTACATATAAAATATTGTAGTTATAATAATAAGGCAATATGGTGGATCAAATAGAATTTTGGACTGAAACTAGGGAGCCTTATATTTAAATCAATATAATCAGTTATGGTGCTGGGGTGACTTTAGGCCAGTCACTGTATGAGATAAGAAAATAAGAACTGTAACCACAACACGTTGTAAATCAATTTCCATTAAATATCCTTTAATCATGCTGTTCCTTATGTAGGACACTTGCTGGAGTATATCCACATTATATCAAAGCGCCTAGTGATAATGCTGCAAAACCTATAAAACAACTTTTGGAAGGTATGAATTTTCAGCATTCTTTCAAATGATTAAATATTTCTTCATAATCTATGAGTCTCACGTCTTATAGACTAAGGGATGGATGGATCATACTTAGAAACAGAAAGGAACTCAAATCAAATGTTTTCTTTTGTTTTCTTTTGGTGTTCTTCAAAGATTAACAGAAAGTGCTGTTGAAATATGTGTTTTTTTACATCTGTAATTTTTTTAATGATTTATCCCCTATGGCCTTGATTAAAGGATAATAAGAGGGTTTTCATGACTTTGAGATGGTATTAAATGTTTCCTTCATGGAACCAGACAAATAGAATGAGATTTTCCTTATACTTAGGGGGGAAGGCATCTTTTTCTCTCTTGATTTTATGACAACTTGCATTATAGGTAGTCCTCGCTTAATGACCCTAATTGGAACTGGAATTTCCATCACTGAGCAAAGCAGTTGTTAGGCAAAACATCACATGACTGCACCACTTAGCGACAGCAGTTCCAGGAGTCCTGGTTATGGTCGTTAGGCCAGGACCTCACACTTCTCCTGCCCTGTTGCATTTGTCTTCAATTCCCCCCACCTGCCTATCTCCCCCCATCTCTGCCCCTTTGGCTGCCCTGAAATCTGCTGCCGCTGCCAACCCCCACTGGCCCCATCTGACTTTCACCACCTTCTTCCCACCGCTGACAAGGCAGGCCTGGCTGAGGCAACTGCTGGCCCTCTGCAAGGTCAGGGAGGCCTTGCGAGGCCACATGAAAGTCTTGTGCAGCATCGCATAGGGTCAGCAGCTGCCTCAGCTGAGCACACCTCATTAACAGCAGGAAGAAGACAGCGAAGGTCAGCTGCAGGGGTAAGTGGTGGTGGCAGAATGCAGGGTGGCCAAAAGGGCAGAGATGGGGAGATAGGCAAGTGGGGGAAGTTGAGGCACGCACTGCAGTCATAAATGCAGATGGGCTGCCAAGCGCCCGGATTTTGACCACATGACCACAGGGGCACTGCAATGACTGTAACTTTGAGGACTGTCCAAAACTACCATTTGTTCAGCACTGTTGTAACTTCAAATGGTTGCTGAATGAATGGTCATTAAGCGAGGACTACCTATATTATAAGGCCTTGGAAATTGAAACAGTGTTGTTTACACAAGTCAAGGAAGTGCTTGCTCTTGTTCAGCTACAGCACTCCTGCTACTGCAGTGGGAGGTAGCATGCTGGGATAAGGGAGAAGGATTTCATTTGCTTCCTTTTACTTTCAGACATACTGATACAGGCCTTGCTAATAGTCAACAATTGATAGGTTAAAATAAGGATGGCTAATTCTAAGTTTTCAGAAGGTATTCTCTTTTCTAAACACTAATTTACAGAGTAGAAGTGTATTTTGACATTAAGTTAACTCCTTCTCTTGATGGACAGATACAATAATAAAGTTATTATCCCTAACAGAAGTTATTTAGCAATTATGAAACATTTGTCTGGTATGAGGTCATTGATTCATGAAATGCACATGATATTTTCTTGTTTCTCTGAATAGCTAATAAATAGGATGGGTTTTTTTTCCTCCTCCTCCTCCTCCTCCTCCTTCTTCTTTTGTAGGTGGGAAGTATAAAGATATCACTGTTTCACTATCCAATAATAATGTGTCTGATGAACTTAATGAATGGTGGATTTTAAACCAGACGAACAAATTTTTGGAGCCAAATACAACTAGACTGGAACTAATTGTGTTTAGTGACAAAGTTAGCCCTCCCAGTCTTGGATTTTTGGCAGGTTATGGGTAAGCAAGTATTTCATATTAACATCATTGTGTAATATGAGAAACATTTTTGTGTTTTTAGAACATAACTGTTTTTATTTACATTGCATTAAAACAAACTACCCTCACATGTGATCATCTGAAAGCAAATGGTTTCATTGTCATTCCCTCAGAAGGCCCTTTCCAGATTATCAAGATTTTATGAATGGCTGAAAAAGATCAGTTTCTAATAGCTGAAATTAGCTGTCAATTTTTAAAGATAGCTGAAAACTCTAGATGATAAAGTGTATCCAAAAGAGTCTGTCAGGACTGTTGTAAACTATTTTCATCAACTATCTTACATATAATATGGGCATCTATTCAGACCTATACAGCTGTAAAGTAGATCCACCTACAATCCTATACTGCTTTCAATAGGTTCTGAAGGAATGAGGAAGGTATCTAGATTCTGGCTATTTGACAGTGTTATTGCTCTGCATGGGATTCCATGCTTCCAAACAGGCCTGGCACTGTTCAACCATTTTGGATCCATTTTGGAACATATACTCCAAAGAGTTCCAAGCCAGTTAAAATTGGTCCCCAAACTGCAGTTCTAACTGCATGTTTTTCTAACTTTGGGTAGCAACTGCTATCATATCTCATTAAATGTTTGGGTGTAGGTGTTTCTCCTTTCATACATTTTAAAAGCTGATTATTATCAATTCTTATCACATCACTTTTATCCCTATGACCCAGTAGAGGACACTGTAACTGGCTGAAAGCATTAACAGTAATGTTTTACCATTAATAAAGCAGAACCAGAAATTGGACTGAATCCAGATAGTTTATTACATTTTAATTGAAGAATTAATTGGGGTTGAAGGCTTCCATGGCTGATCCCACCTATTTGCATAGGATTAAAGTATAGGCAAGGTAGTATAATCCAGCCCACTCTTTTCAGCATCAGTGAGTGTGAAGGCTAGAAGGACGAAGGTTAGACAGAAAGAGCTTGAAACAAGACAGATCTTTACAATAACAAAAGTGGACCTGCACCTGTGGGAAAAATGCTAGGAAGAAAAAAAAAGTCAACTGCCCCCCTCCATCAGAGAAACAAGCATCACTCAGATCATTGGGATGCTCAAGTGGGAAAAAGAGATGCAAGGTTTGAACCTGGGGACTGCTTGAGACTTATAGTTGGCAGTTGCTGGCTTATCAAATTGTTGTGTCCTTGAATCTCTCTTCAAGGATCAATCTGGGCAAAGCCTGACAGCAAGCTTCATGTGTGATGTATTTCCTCTGAAAGGATCTCTGTTGCCTGTGGTGTGTTTCAAGTTCTCAGTATTTTTTAAGAGCTGAATGCTTCCTTGCTGGGTCAAACCTATCCACCAGTGACTTGCAGGAATCTCAACAATTAACAGACACTAAATGAAGAGCACTGGCAGGGGCCTCCATAGGGGTAACCTGCATCATGCATGTACAGTCTTTTAGCTGTCTGGATGGTTAACTGAAGACATGTGAAACTGCAACCATATGTGCCACTTCTGTGTCAATAGCTGCAGCCCAAATGCATATCATAATAAGGAAACTAATGATGAAATTGAAACAAATAAAGTTAATTGTACATTTTGGGGGGAAGCCCATTGAATGAGATTGGTCATCTACCAACTGTCATTTTCATATGAAGCCTGTAATTATCATACAAACAAAGAGTGACTGGGAAATACAGATCACATGTTTTGGAAGGATGCTTTTGTACCACCATTCTCTTGGGCTGATTGGTACTGTTTCCATGGTGCCCCCACTCCAAGATCAAACATTTAATTGAGTACTAATAGCCCTAAATCTCACTTTCACAAGTAACTTTCCCTCTGCTGCAGTAGCTTTTGCCGTTAAAGGACAAGCAACCATCTTTCTTAGTGTAACATAGTAGTTGAGATATTGGATATGGAACCAAGGAAATCCTGGTTTGTTAATTAATTAATTTGTTTGTTAATTAATTCACCATGGAATTAATTGGGTGATTTTGTGATACTCACTTGCCCTCAGCCCAACCTATTTTAGAAGTTGCTATTATGGGCATAAAATTAGTGGAAACCCATTTCCCTATAAACTGCCTTAAGCTCCGAGCAATGGGATGATATAAATGCAATAAATTATCATAACAACTGTAGATAAGAATTACAATCCATTAACAGAATACTCTCATTAGTTTGAATGCAATTTTCATTGATTCTTTCTGCAATCTCTCTTTGCTTGGGATCTGAACCAATAGCCTTGTTTGGATCCCTTAAGTCCTCAGCTTGCTAAATCCTCATCTTTTAAAATCATAGTTAAGCATCAGAGAACAAGTGTGTTTCATTTTTCTTCCTTCTGTTTGTCTCCCTTTCAGTGATCTTGCTTACATCCTAATTCAGTTCAATCAATTCAGTGAAAATAGGAGCTGTCAATTTTATCATTTGTTTCCTTAGTGTGATACAGATTTGGATTGCAGCTTTTGACATACAGCTGCAGTTTTAGATGTCTTTAATCAACTTTGTGCACGTGTAAAAGATTTACTCATAGTTTGAGATTTCATTGAGATCCTTATTAATGCTATTTTATTAATCAAGCTTTCCATTTTGGATGGCACAACCAAGCATTTTTATGTGGATCCATAATTCATTTCCAACTGTTAAAATATTGTTTATTTAGCCAGATACTGAATATGACAACCATTATTCATATAATTCTAACGCAGATCAATTTTATTTGGAAATCCTTTAAATTGTGGAAATAGTTGGTCAGAAAATTCTGACCAAGACCAGTCTTTTAGTTTGCTACGCCATCATGATATCACAGTCCTTGATCCTCAACTTTTGGCAAAACTTTTTGTGCAGCTCTACCTTCTTCTGCCCATACCTCTCTTTCTTTCTAACTACCTCTGCTTTTATTTCTTGGTTGCACCAGCCTTTCATTTTGTAAAGAAAAAAAGCTAACATTGAACAAATTAACCCTATACACACATAGACATATTCTATCTATCTAACCTTTTTTTTTTTTAATCTATTCCCCTCTTCTCAGTGATCTGTTTCATCATGTTGCCTTTGCTTTTGAAATTATTGCACATTTTAAAATGTTAGTGCTTTTTCTTTCTCATTTTGCAGCATCATGGGTTTATATGCTTCAGTTGTCCTGGTAATAGGAAAATTTGTCCGTGAATTCTTCAGTGGAATCTCCCACTCTATCATGTTTGAAGAACTTCCCAACGTGGATCGTATCCTAAAGCTGTGTACGGATATCTTCTTAGTGCGGGAGACTGGTGAATTAGAACTAGAGGAAGATCTATATGCTAAGCTAATATTCCTGTATCGTTCACCAGAGACTATGATCAAATGGACTAGAGAAAAAACGAAGTGATCTAGGAGTTCACAATGTAAATCAAGATGATTTCATCTGGATTTTTTTTTAAAAAAAAAGAAGCACAAAATTCTCTTTTATAATTGGGTGGCAATTTTTTGTTCAT